GATTGTGTCTGAGTGAGATGGAGGATAGCTGGAGTCCCAGGCGCTCCTCTTATAGGGACCATGCTGGACTAACTCACCGATTGAATCACTGGCTCTGAGCTCTAGCACTGGGGGAGCAGCTGGAGAGGTGACAGGTACATATGGGAGGGACCTAAGTTGTCTGGCTTAGGATGAGGGCTGGAAGGGCAGCTTTCTCCCAGACAGAGGAGCTGGTGGAAGCCATTGTTTCTTTATTGAGCCCTCCCCCTTCCCAGTGTTTCGACACAGGTGGCCACCATAGCTGATCTCCATCAACCTGGCTAACATCATTCATTCACCACACCCTGGTGATTCTGAGACCCCATCCACCCAACTTTTAGACACACACAAGTCTCTTCCAGTGGCTTTTTCCTACAAACCAAATGCCTTGGTTCATGCTGCAGACTAACCTAGGGTTTATCAAAGATTTGAGGAACCCAGACAAGCAGCATCTGGCTTAAGCATGTCCTGTACCTCTGGCTGAGCAACCCTAAGCCTAGGTTCAAGGTTTGGCCTCCTGAGGCACTTCCAAGCACAGCATGGGTGGCAGCCATCTGTGGATTGCTTTGTGGCTCCTGCCAGGTGACGCTGGGTGGGGCATGGGCTGTGGTTGAACTTGACCTGCAGCAGGTTCCCTCCAAGGTGGCCCTGAGGCTGGTGCACCCAGTGGCCAGCTTCAAAATTAGCTGGAGCATCGCCCAGCTATCTCCAAGGATGACACACCCAAGGGGCAGACTGGGCAGGCACCAGAGCCCTGCTGAGGCAGATCCTGCTCTGTAGGGTCGGCCCCTGCACCAAAACTCCTCCACTGTAGTCAAGGCCAGTCCTCATAACCAATGAGCCTGAGGATCAATCCGTCCCATTGATGTGCAAATACCAACCAAGGCTCAACTACAAGAGGAGTGCACACACAACCCACACAAGGGACACACCTGGAGTGCACAGCCCAGGTACCAGGAAGACTGCACCACTGAGCTCCACAGCACACCCACTACATAAGGCCACTTTACTAAGACCGGGAGACATAGAAGCCCTACCTAATACATAGAAACAAACACAGGGAAGCAGCCAAAATGGGGAGACAAAGAAATATGTTTCAAATAAAAGAGCAAAACAAAACTCCAGAAAAAAAACTAAAAAAAATGGAGATGAGTAATTTACCAGACACAGGGTTCCAAACACTGGTTATAGGGAGGCTCAGTGATCTCAGGGAGAACTTCAACAATGAGGAAACATAAAAATGGAGATAGAACACATTAAAAAACAAGTCAGAAATATAGAATACAATAACTGAAATGAAGAATACATTAGAGGGAATCAACAGTAGATTAGATGAAGCAGAGGGTCCGATCAGCAATTTAGAAGATAAGGTAGCAGAAAACAGCCAATCAGAACAGCAAAAAGAAAAAGAATCCAAAACAATGAGAAGAGTTTAAGGGGCCTCTGGGGCAACATCAAGCACACCAACGTTTGCATTATAGGAGTAACAGAAGGAGAAGAGAGAGAGTAAGGAATTCAAAACCTATTGAAAGAAATAATGACAGAAAATTTCCCTAACCTGGCAAAGGAAATAGATATACAAGCCCAGAAGGCAGTGTTCCAAACAAGATGAACCTAAAGAGGCCAACACCAAGGCACATCATAATTAAAATGCCAAAGGTTAACGACAAAGACAGAGTCTTAAAAGCAGCAAGAGAATAGCAATTAGTTACCTATAAGGGAGCTCCCATAAGACTTTCAACTGATTTCTCAACAGAAACTTTGCAGGCCAGAAAGAATTGGCAGGAAGTCTTCAAAGTGATGAAAAGCAAGGACCTACAACTAAGATTACTCTAACAGCAAAGCTCTCATTTAGAATTGAAGGACAGATAAAGAGCTTCCCAGACAAAGAAAAGCTAACGGAGTTCACCACCACTAAACAAGTATTACAAGGAATGTTAGAGGGACTTCTTTAAGACAAAAATAAATAAATAAAAATCAAAACTATGCATAATAAAATGGCAATAGCTACATACCTATCCACAATTACTTTCAATATAAATGGATTAAATGTTCCAATCAAAAGATATAGGGGACTGAATGGTCAAGAAAACAAGACCCATATATATGCTGTTGACAAGAGGCTCACCAGATCAAAAAACACACAGAGACAGAAAGTGAAGGGATGGAAAAAGATATTTCATGAAAATGGAAACAAGCAAACAAAAAGCTGGAGTGGCAATACTTATACCAGACGAAATGGACTTTAAAACAAAGACTGTAACAAGAGACAAAGAAGGACCTAGTAATCCCACTTCTGGGTATTTATCCAAAAAAACCCAAAATGCTACTTTTTTTTTTAAAAGATTTTTTTTTTATTGGGGAATTGGGGGGATGGGAACAGTGCTGGGGAATTGGGAGAAGGGGAACAGACAAGTTGCTGTCGTTTTATTCTTCAATCTAGTTGTGGAGGACGTTGCTTCACTGGCCCAAGTTGGCACCATCATTGCGCTCTTCTCTGGTGAGGCAGATCAGTCGCCGGCTTCTGGACGACCGCTCACTGCGGCTGCTGGCCGCTCACGCTGGCTGCTGGCTACACACGGTAGCCCATGGCAATCCACTGCCACAGGGGCTGCAGCCTACGCCGTCGCCGGCGACTCATGGCAGCCCAGCTCCAGGTTGAGCTGTCGTTCAGCATCTTAGCTGTGGAGGGCAGTGTCACTGGCCCTCACATGTGGGATCCGAACCGGGGCCCTCTGGCATCCCAAGTGAGTTCTTAACCATCGCGCCACTCGGCCGGCCCCCAAAATGCTACTTTGAGGGGATGTGCTCATCTACATGTTCATTGCAGCATTATTTATAATAGCCAAGATATGAAGGCAACCTGGGTGTCCCTGAATAGATGAATGGATAAAGAAGAGGTGGTACATATATACAATGGAATATTACTCAGCAGTAAAAAATAATGAAATTTTGCCATCTGCAACAACATGGATGCACCCAGAGGGTATTGCACTGAATGTAGTAAGTCAGAAACTTATGAGTGGAATCTAAAAAACAAAATAAACAAATAAATAAAACAGAAACAAACTCATAGATACAGATAAATTTTTGATGGTTGCCAAATAGAAGGGGGTTTGGGGAGGAGTAAAAATGGGGAAGGGATTAAGAAGTACAAATTGGCTATTATACAGTAGTCATGGGGATGTAGGGTATAGCATAAGGAATACAGTCAATAATATTGTAATAACTATGTATAGTGCCAGGTGGGTACTGTTGAATAATTATGATGTACACCTAAAACTAATATAATATTGTATGTTAACTATATTTTAATAAAAATCTTAAAATAAATAAATACATTTGCACACATAAAATAAATATATAGAACCTCCTCCTGGTTGTCTGTCAATATACCTGACCACCAAGGTGTCCATTAGACACAAGCCTGAATCAACCAAAAATTAACCTTCTTTCCTCCATGGTGGGAGGGCTTAAACCTCAAGTCATCGAGCCTCCCTGGCGGTCTGATTATATGTCAGTAATTTTGTACCCAAAGCAGTACATTGTTTTGCATGGAA